GTCACAACGTCATCGTCATTAAAAAGCTGCGTATTAAATTAAAAAAAAAACAATGCCTTTGTGCTTTATTCTTTAATTGTTTTTACACATTTTTGACTTTTATTCTATTTTTAGGATTATCCGTATTTTTTATCGAGCACACAGTCCTCCTGATGATAATTGGATGCGTTGTTATCCCTGAGGACTAACATGGAATGCCTCGTTTCCAGTAAAAAATAGTCTCTGGATCTCACCATACGAAACGCGGCAGTACTAGGCTGCTATTTTACGCTGGTATTCTGTGAGAACGTGGTCCTTCCCCGGTCGAGCCGACCCATTCGTGCTACAACCATAATATAGTTGCAGTGTAAATCTACCGCATATGAATGAAAATATTGGTTAATATGGTTATATTAACCAATATTTTTGAAACATACATAAAATTTTATATTTTCCTCATAGTTTTACCAGTTTTGCTAACCTCCCATGAAATCTATCGAATATTTCATCACATTACAAAGAGACACTGGTGGAAGAAAAAGTTGTGGTTGCACTTAATTCCTTCTATTGCCACTTACGACACCAGCGGTTCGATATGGGGTAGTGGGTTTTCTTTAAACTATATTTAGAAGTAAAGTAAAGTAACAATCTATTGTCTTCCCACTGCTGGGCACAGGCCTCCTCTCATTTCTGACAGGGTTTTTAAGGCAAGTAAATGTCCGCCACACTGCCCCAATGCGTGTTGGCCATAGATATAATATTTTTAATATTTCTATGGTGTTGGCGAACTTAACATGTCTTCGAAATATTTTTTCTTATTTCTCAGACATGCTAATTTCCTCACGAAGTTTTCCTTCACCGCCGGTGGTAAATCAGCACTTAAAATTGCAATTAAGAATTTTATTAGTGCCGATAGAAAATCAAACCGTGTTTCTCACGTACTGTGAAATTTACAGCGAACGCTTACGCTACGCTTATAACTACTATAGGGCAAATCTCTTAACTTATTATAATCATACTGGTGTGTGTGTTAATTGTGTTAATATTTGAAAAATAAGTTATTATCGAGGAAAAAAAACCGCCCGACTGATCTAACTTGATTTGTCTTATTTACAAGCTAGCGATATTTGTAATGTAGCTTCACAATTACCTATCATGTGAATGTGATCCCATTTGTTTTCTTTTAAGTCACAAGTTTTTGAGACCGCCATATTGATTTTATGCTGACGTAAACTGTTTTTTCCGCGCAAAAGAGTATTTGACACTTTTTAAGATAATAACATATTAAAACAAACAATTCTATAGAAATTGTAATAAAATAGTAAATAGTCAAATTATATCGTTTTTTTTTAAATATCAAAAATCTAATTGAAATTATATGATGTAGAAATTAATTGATGATAGCGTTAACTTTTCAATATATCTAAGATAAATCGGTTCAAGAGATGCAGAAGGACATAGAAACTGATAAACACTTAACAGCTAAAAATATTACCCTACTTTTGGGTTTCGCCGCTGTCGGGTAATATTAAATACATACTTGTACGTGGTGGCTACCACGCGTGTTAGTAGCAGAAATGGGTCGGCTTGACCAGAGATGGACCACGCTCTCATAGAATGCCTGCCTAAAGTAGAAGTTTAATGCTGCTGTGTTTCTCATGGTGAATGTGGAAATCCGGAGATCCTTGTAACTATAACGAGGCATTCCATCGTAGTCCTTAGGGGTGACAACGCATTTGATTTTTGATAGATGTAGATGTCTATGGGCCATAGAATCCACTTGCCATCAAGTAGTGTGTGTTCGTTTGTTACCTTTATTCAATTTAAAAAAAAACGTTTAACTCACCAGAGATTGGGTAATGGGTTCACATTGCTACTGAAAAGTTAATTTATAGGTTTATAAATGACACTTATGTAAGTGTACATTAAGTAAACATTCTTAGCCGGTTAGCTAACAATAAATAGAACAGTATAGATAAAACCACGGCTGCAAGTCACGAATATGTGATTATAGTCAACCAAATCTAAGAAATACATTTTGACAGCTGTCAGACTTAATGCACCAAGCATGCCAACCAAAAAATGGGAACGTAAAGTATTTGATTCTTAAAAAAATCGATATCGATTATTTAGAGTTGGTAATCATTTACAGTTTGGTTTGAATAATACCAGAATAAATTAAAAACGGATGATTTAAAACACAAGATTTATCAGTTTCTTCGTATTTGTTGTAACTGCTTGTTTCTAGAGGCAAAGTTATAAAAATTTAAAATTGAAACTAGATTCAAAATAAATTTATTCAATCACTTTCAGTACAACTAGTAGGAATGTCGTTGTTTATATTAATTATTATTATTTGATTTTCAATAATGCAGTCATAACTAATGTCTCTTTCAAAGTTATCCATAATATTTTTTTTTGTTTTTCTACCACTTGCCCAATCATCCTTTGTGACATGGGCACATGCTTCAATGAATTTTTTTATAGCATTGGGTGACAAACGATCACACAGTCCACCTGATTGGTAAGTGGATGCTATGGCCCATAGACATACACATTTATCTTCAATTTAGAATCAAAATGCAAATGAGTTGTCACCCCTGAGGACTAAGATGGAATGCCTCGATTCCAGTAAAAAGTGTCTACGGTTCTCTACACTCACCATATGAAACATCAGCATTAGGCTGCTATTTTACGTTGGTATTCTGCCCTGGTTGAGCTGACCCTTTCGTGCTACAACTATAATATAGATGTATCGTGGCTCTACCACGTACAAAAAGTTATTATAGAGGAAACAGTCCAAAAAGTTAAAGCCGAGTCACAAAATAAGAAGACAAACACAAAATCACAAAATTACGCACAGTAAGCTCTCGAAACAGAAACAAAAACTTTTTTATTCAATATAGATTATGAATAATACTTATTGAAAGTCACTTTTTCATTTACCAGTGGTTCGCAAAGAATACCTCCGTCCTGGGAAGAACCATTAAGAAAAGGGCTTATAATCATGCGTGTTACAATTAACAACACAAAACAAATTAGAAATAGCTTCCTTAATAGCTAGCTTAAATTCCTTAATATTAAAATAACCCTTTTTTATACAAACTTAGTGTAATAAAGTTTTTGAACTATGTGTACTTACGTCAAATTTTGTATATTTTCTGCCATTTTGTTATAAAAGCGTATACATCGCCTCAAAAATGAATTACTGATTCTGTGGAGTCGAGTAACTGGTATCGAAATGGCGGGATATTGAAATTATGTAGTGGTTATTTTATTAGCACGGCCTTGTATATGAGATTTTTGCCTACAAAAATTTACTTTGACAAAGTGAAAAAAATAAACTTGTTTTATTCATGATTTATGTAATTTAAGGAATTTTGAAAATAAAAATTAAATTAAACAAACAATACCTACATTTAAGAAATTAATGATTCGATTATTAGAATATTTTTACCGATTATTTAATTATTTTGTCGATGATTCGCATAACAATGAATTTTAATCATCCAAACACTACGGTAATATACATAGCGACATGTTATTGAAACGACGTCAAGTAAAAAAGTTAATACTGGTTATTTTTTAATAATTTGCTTTGTTTAAAAAATTCAAATTTAAATTGGTGATAAAAGACTATACACGTTGTAATGAAATATAGATAACCTCATAATTCTTCGGATTTACGTAAATGGTTATTTTAAATCGTGTGAGTACGCTTGTGCAAAGTTATTGCGGAATGATTAATGTGAAACGTCAAAAGGTATTTCTTAGATTTGGTTGACTATAGCTTTAAAATACTCGTACAGTTAATGTTTTACGACCGCGTATTTATGAAGGATCATCACTGGTGATAAATTCGTTCCGTTATGGACTGCCTGTATACTGCCGCAGTACCCTAGAGAAATATATGATGTCATAAATCGCCGCCATTTTTGTACTGTGAGTACTGGCGCTTCCGAGGTAAAGGTGCTGTCAGTACTTTTGATCACGTGATCAAAATTCAGCGCCTAGAGATTTAACAACTTCCACGAATGATTGATATTTTTAATAGTTAATATTGTTATTCAAATAAACTCGGACATTAAATTATAATAGCAACAACATTCAAATAGTAAATTTTGTTGTTGAACAGAAAACGTGTACATGATAAATATTTTCATTTGAAAACAGTGTCGAAAAATTGAGATGACAGTATACGAGACTGCGTTCCGTTTTTATTAGTAACCAGTATAGCAAACTAAAAGTAACGGCTTCACGGTATGAATTCAAGTCACACCTTAGAGTGTATATCAGAACACACCCTAAGTATAAGTATTAGAGTTTGAAGCAAACAATAATTAAAATTGAAGTTATGACAGCTCGGTAATGCAGTGGCCAAGCGTTTGACTGTAGGCTCAAGTTTCGCACTGGTTAAGTCAACGATCTTTTTATTTGTGTAAAGTTACAGGCTTTCTACAATCCCTCCCCGGGATGGTTCTGTGGGCGTGGAGTTATTGGTCCGAAGTGTTGCTTCAGTATATGTTGGCAGACTTCCCATCATATTACCGAAATGTTTTATTTCTCAGATATATGTAAATTCCCTAACCGTCGAGCACGTGGTAAACAAGCACTTTTACTTGTTACTTGTTATTTCATTGGAGGTGGTAGCGAATATTAAGGAAATCTTTATATATACTAAACTATGTATTAGGTACTATTATTTATTTTGTGACTAAACTTCTAAACGGCGATTTTGATGATTTTTTGTACTTATGTGTTTGAGTGGTTCCATGTAGGGCATGGATACGGGTATATCGGTATACCGGTAAAATTTTCGGTACTTTTAAGACCGGCAATTGAGGATAAAATACCGGTATTTCGGTATTTCATAATAAGTGATCTATTTTTGCAAGGTTGTTTAAAGACTATAGAACGCTTGATTTCTACAGTTCATAGTGTTGTTCATTCTGCTGATGAGTTTTCATATGACATCAATCACGAATAATTTCGATTGTAGAAAAATAAACTCAAAATCAACTATGCAAGACACTGTATGCATATCGTCGCTGATCTTACTATCTTTGCCGACTACTTACCGACGGAAGACGTGCATTGATAATACTCTGATAGACTTAAACTCTGCTATCAAGTTCTCCCAAGAAGAGTTTGAATTGCTGCACTCCATTCAAAAGAGCCCGAAAATAGTCAAGATGACAGTGAAAGCACTTTGCAGACGAGATGCGACACTTTTAACTGCAGTAGCTGACCTTAAATATATCCTAAGAAAATTAAATAACCAAAAAACAAGTTTATTTAAATCTCTGGCGGAAGCTCTAAGAAAGCGCATATTGGAAAGACCACAACCTATGACTGCAATTTTACAGTATCTTCATAACCCGGAAGAATATTTCAAAGAAAATGCAAAGACACGCTGAGATAACCATCCAGAGTTTCCTAGAATCAACTTTCAATTCAATTACTGAACTTATTCATCAATTGCAAGAACAGACTCTCAACTCTCTACAAAACAGGAGTGCGATGAGCTCACCTGCTGCCGCTTATGCTTCTGCTAAAAAGGAAACAAGTGATAATGACACAAGTACTAGTAGCAGTACTTCATCTGTGATGAGGAAGGAACTTAATAAAGTAATAGAAAAATCTATGACCAAAAAACAAAACAGATCCCAGATCGGCGAGGAAGAAGAAGATAACATTCAAACATTAATTCGAATTGAAATGACATTGTATGAAAATGGAGGTACGGGAGGCAGGTTTTCGGACGCAGCTTACAATTAAGTCTCAAGTATTCCTCCCACGAGCGTTGAATCAGAAAGGGTCTTTTCAGCTGCAAGTTACATTTGTAAAAAAAAATAGGATCGTCGCTCATCGACGCCGGTTTGGACGCGTTGTGTTTTCTTCGTTCGATTTTGCAACAAACGCTATTTGCCTGATTAAAGGACTTGAATACTTGAGTTAAATTAAGCCTGCGTCTACATTTTGATTTATTTTGGAATAATTACTTTCGATACTTTCATTTGCAATTTGATTTTGTTTTAACAATAGTTCATATTCGTAGTTTAAACTGTGACTAAGAGAGATATTTAAAATTGTTAAATGTTTTCTTATCATTAGATAGTAAGACTGATTTTATTACAGATTGTGATATTTGTGCCAATGAAACAATATAAAAACAATTGTTGGATCAAATAACGTGTTTTCTTTTTTATTCTTAATTACCTTTATTTTATCTCATTTTGTAGATTCTAGGAAGTTGATAAATAGTTTTAGTGTTTCTGCCATATAGCGTAGGAAATTGCTTTAATTGCTCTCCATAAATAATACTTAGCAATCGTTATTGGAATCGTTTAAATAGTTATTTAGCAGTATTTAAAAAATACCGAAATAATACCTAAATTTTGGTATACCGGTCATTGTAATTTCCATGGATGGGATTACTCTTGAACTGGCACGGCCTATAAATAATTGTTCTGGCTGTGTTAGTATCCCCAATCTATGTATGTATTTATGTTTATTAAAAAATATAAACGAAATAAAATATTAAATTTCGGCTCTCGGCGTGTACGTTACATAGTAACATTATTTAATCTGTAGTGTAGGCTTGATGTTTCCTTGCCGCTTTTGTAAACAGCGAGAACTGTCGAATACGATCAAAAGTTTCAACGGAGTTGCATATGTTGTTATGCCTTTACGTTTATTAAAAAATATAAACGAAATAAAATATTAAATTTCGGCTCTCGGCGTGTACGTTACGTAGTAACATTATTTAATCTGTAGGCTTGATGTTTCCTTGCCGCTTTTGTAAACAGCGAGAACTGTCGAATACGATCAAAAGTTTCAACGGAGTTGCATGTGTTATTATGCCTTTATGTTTATTAAAAAATATAAACGAAATAAAATATTAAATTTCGGCTCTCGGCGTGTACGTTACATAGTAACATTATTTAATCTGTAGGCTTGATGTTTCCTTGCCGCTTTTGTAAACAGCGAGAACTGTCGAATATGATCAAAAGTTTCAACGGAGTTGCACATGTTATTATGCCTTTGTTTATTAAAAAATATAAACGAAATAAAATATTAAATTTCGGCTCTCGACGTGTACGTTACATAGTAACATTATTTCATCTGTAGGCTTGATGTTTCCTTGCCGCTTTTGTAAACAGCAAGAACTGTCGAATACGATCAAAAGTTTCAACGGAGTTGCATATGTTGTTATGCCTTTACGTTTATTAAAAAATATAAACGAAATAAAATATTAAATTTCGGCTCTCGGCGTGTACGTTACATAGTAACATTATTTAATCTGTAGGCTTGATGTTTCCTTGCCGCTTTTGTAAACAGCAAGAACTGTCGAATACGATCAAAAGTTTCAACGGAGTTGCACATGTTATTATGCCTTTAGTTTATTAAAAAATATAAACGAAATAAAATATTAAATTTCGGCTCTCGACGTGTACGTTACATAGTAACATTATTTAATCTGTAGTGTAGGCTTGATGTTTCCTTGCCGCTTTTGTAAACAGCGAGAACTGTCGAATACGATCAAAAGTTTCAACGGAGATGCACATGTTATCATAGTGCCACAATAACTTTTGCTAACATACTTTTTTGCAAAATTAAAATATATTTTACAGTTGTCCAAAATATTTTGTTATGGGAATCCGCTACAATATTGACATAATATTTACTAGAATGGAAACAGGAAATTTAATGTACGCCGCACCCAACTAACCGCGTTCAAAATAAGATACTCGTAGTATCGTACATAACAAAAGCGAATGAGCTGTTTGGTTTACATCCAATTTATGACTTACTAACCGACATAGTTAATTTTCTACTTGATACCGGCGGACCCATCATCCCATTTCGTCCCGTGAGTGTTGTCACAGGTTGTGTTCTCTCTGATCTTAATTTTTTTGGTCATTTATGTTATCAATGTTGGGTTTCTGTACAAATTCTACTTACTAGCGTAATTTCTCTTCCGAATATCAGTGTTCTAGTTTTTTTTTTGAATTATGGTACATACGATTACACAGTCCACCTAATGGTAAGAGGATGCTGTAGCCTATAGACATCTACATCAATTCTTAATTAAGAATCAAAATGCAGATGCGTTTTCTCCCCAGAGGACTAAGATAGAATTCCTCGTTTCTAGCAAAAAGATTTCTCCGGTTCTCTACACTCATCATACAAAAAACAGTCAGTGTCAAGCTGCTATTTTACGCTGGTATTTAATTAATCTGGTAATTTATATAAGCTCCACCTTTATGTATGTATAAATGTGATGAAATTTTATAATTAGGATTTCACCCATTTCCAGACCGATTTATCTGAATTTTAGAAACGTATTCAGAACTAACGACAACAAAATAATTTCATGACTATGAACTAGTATTATCACTAGAATCATCACAGCTTATGAGAAATGGTGCCGTGAGGCGAAACCGGTCGGCTTTTATAGTCAGTATAATAATAATTTAAAATAAATATTATCAAACTAGCAGGTACAAGTGTTTCTCCAAATAACAAAGCGTACTTATACCTTAATTAACCATTTTGATGTCCCATGAGTCATATATGATCATTTCAATTGTTGTGTCTTTTTCGCGGACAGGAAATTATTAAGTTATGTAATGTCATTAAAATAAACTAAAAAATGTAATTTATTTATTTTAAACGAAAATTAAAGAAGACTAACTGTTTCCACCGCAACCAGAACTAACGTCGTATTAAAACATAACTGCTAGAACGTTGCCGGGATTCAATTAGCTTAATTTAGGTTATTTGACGGAAACTCTGGAGCACCTGGTCATGCTCACCCTAAGAGTCGTAAATGCATCTTCGATAACATGATTTCATGACTCTTCTCAAAGGTTTAAGAGTTGCCAGTATGAAGCTACGGCCGCATTACCATACCGTCTACCGCCCGTTTACCGCAATAATTATGGCATTAAATTACCGCGTGAAGTAACGCGGTTACACTGTAGTTTACCTAGATATGACAATGAACTAAGTGAAAAAAATGTTCATATCGCACACTAAACAAACTGTAGCGTGGCCACTTTACACAAAAAATACTGCGGTAATCATCTTTGATATGAGAAAAAGACCGCCACCGGAGCTAAACTGCCTACCGTCATATGCCATATTGATGATTATGTCCCTAAATCGTGGCTATACCTAGGCGTTGTTTCAATTATGGCCATACATAAGTATTGCCATATCACGGTAGTATGGCCATAGCATAAGTCACACAATCTGATATACCGTTACGCATTACTTTAAATACCTTTCTTCTTAATGAAAGGTTCAAAGTTGGTGAACCGATCACTGCCCTCCAGCGACACCAAATAGAATCAAAACCAGAAATATTTGATATTCATATTTAAGATTAAGATAATACTTATAAAACCTGTCTGTGACAAAGTAAGCTGGTTGGAGATCTAATTTCAAAAACCCAACTCAAAAGATTCACACATAAACTAAATCAGAAAACACGCTAATTATAACAATCAAGTCTAAAATTACTTACCTAAGATTAATTTAAATTCAAACAATAAACTTTAATTTAATAACTAATTTTAATATCCTTAAAAGAACAAGCCATCACGGGATGACTAATGAAGAAAAAAAACATACTTATATATGCAAGTAAGGATTATTCGCGAGGCCATTGATTTAAAACGGCCTGGTGTTGCCATATGCTTGGGATCCTATAATTAATAAAGTAAATCGAAACCCAAGTATGTGCTTCATTACAAGACTTCAAGATACAGTAAGCTCGTTCTGCGTATATCGGACTAAAATTTGATAACCAAAAGCTGAAAGTTAACTGGGTTATCTATCGTAGTTCATCAGGACGTTAAACACCTCGGTCCTCGTGACCATTGGTGCGGTAAAGCATCCAAAATGTATAAATAAGTCAAATTAAACACGATAAAATTCAAAATAATTTTTAATAATTTGACTTATTATTATACAGTTCTTATTTATTACTTATTATTATGCTATTGTTTTATTCAAGGCGAAAATATTTCGAAATCGCACCTCGTGTGAAGCCAAGTGCAATTACCTAACTACCCGCAGAACAGCGTGCTAAGTTTAAACATTTCTTAATTATTAGAATCAGGCGTTATTTGCGGAAATACATTATAATAAAGATTTTTTCATTATAAGAAAGATAGTTTGAAGAGCAAACTCTTTCATCATTTGATTTTATTCAGCGGATGGTTGCAAAATAACTATTAATATCTTTATTAAACATTTCTTTTTTTTTTAATTCACATTATATTATCAGGAGAATATAGGGAATATGCCGTGTTGTGGCGGTTAAGAATATCCACTACCCCATATCCCGTGGGTGTCGTAAAAGGCGACAGAGGGAAACAGGCAGAAGATGGGCAGCAGCATCTTCCTG